GCTCACGCCTGTAATCCCAGCACTTTGGGAGGCCAAGGCGGGTGGATCATGAGGTCAGGAGATCGAGACCATCCTGGCTAACATGGTGAAACCCCATCTCTACTAAAAATACAAAAAATTAGCCGGGCATGGTGGCGGGCACCTGTAGTCCCAGCTACTTGCGAGGTTGAGGCAGGAGAATGGCGTGAACCCGGGAGGCGGAGCTTGCAGTGAGCCGAGTCTGTGCCACTGCATTCCATCCAGCCTGGGCGACAGAGCCAGAGCGAGACTCTGTCTCAAACAAAACAAAACAAAACAGAAAAATTAGCTGGGCGTGGGATCACACGCCTGTATTCCCAGCTACTCAGGAGGCTGAGGCAGGAGAATTGCTTGAACCCAGGAGGCAGAGGTTGCAGTGATCTGAGATTGCACCACTGCACTCCAGCCTGGGTGACAGAGCAAGACTTCATCTCAAAAAAAAAAAAAAAAAAAAAAAAAAAAACTGTTTGGCAATATGTACTACAGCTAGACATCTGCATAACCAGTAGTCCCACTTTTCATTTTTTTTTTTTTTTTTTTGAGACGAAGTCTCACTCTTGTCCCCAGGCTGGAGTGCAATGGAAAGATCTTGGCTCACTGCAACGTCTGCCTCTGGGGTTCAAGCGATTCTTCTGCCTCAGCCTCCCGAGTAGCTGGTATTATAGGTGCCTGCCACCACGCCCGGCTAATTTTTGTTTTTTTAGTAGAGACTGGGTTTCACCATGTTGGCCAGGCTGGTCTTGAACTCTTGACCTCAGGTGATCCGCCCACCTTGGCCTCCCAAAGTGCTGGGATTAGGCGTGAGCCACCACGCCCGGCCTAGATATTTTACCAAAGGTTTATTTACCAAAAGACATGCTTAAGAATGTTTAGTCATAGTAGCCCCAAAATGGAAAGAACTCAGTTACCTATCAACAGACAAATAAGTTGTGGTGTTCACAGTACCGTAAAATACCAACAGTAACAGGAATGAAAAATCTACAACTACGCAAAATGATTTGGATGAAACTCATAGTGTTGAGCAAAATAACCCAGACATGAGAGATCACACCATATGATTCTGTTTTTATAATTACAGGAAAAAAGGAGACACAACTTCTCCCTGCTGTTTGAAATCAGAATCATGGTTTCTCTCGGGGAGGGTAATTATTAGAAGGGACACTGGGGTGCTGGCAAAGTTCTGTTTCTTGTTTTGTTGTTGTTGTTGTTTGTTTTTTCTTTTTTCTCTTTTGTTTTTGAGACAAGGTCTCCCTCTGTTGCCCACGCTATAGTGCAGTGGTAGAATCATGGTTCCCTACAGCCTCGACCTCCTGGGCTCAAGCAATTCTCCTACCTCAGCTCCCCAAGTAGCTGGGACTACAGGCACAAGTGCACCACCACATCTGGCCAACTTTTATATTTTTAGTAGAGATGGGGTTTTGCCATGTTGCCAGGCTGGTCTCAAACTCCTGAGTTCAAGTGATCTGCTCGCCTCATCCCAAAGTGGTAGGATGACAGGCAAAAGCCACTGCATCTGGCCTTTCTCCATTTCTCCTTCCCTGAATCTGTGTCTTCCCAATTCCCCTAAAAGTAGGTGTTTCAACTGACCACAGGATGGAATTACGCTTCCAAATGTATTAAAGACTTCATTTACTTTACCAATAAATGTGGGAATTAGCTAGTGGGAGAGGCACTTCATCAAAACAGATCACCCAAATGGCTAGCAGGTATATAGAATTGTAGTATCTTATCCAAAAAGAGTATTCCAAATAGCATTTATTGAAAACAATTTTGTGTTACCCTACTCATAATTCTAAAATCTAGTTAAATTGGTTCTTAGGAGTATTTCTGGGGCAGACATGATTGCTCATGCCTATAATCTCAGCACATTGGGAAGCCGAGGCAGGGGGATTGCTTGAGCCTGGGAGTTTGAGAAAAGACTGGGCAACATAGTAAGACCCCATCTCAAAAAACAAAAGTTAGCCAGGCATGGTGGCTCATGGCTGTAATCCCAGCACTTTGGGAGGCTGAGGCCTCTTCACCCAGATTTTCCAGGTGCTAATATTTTACTGCTTTGGTCTTGGTATGTTCACTCCCTTCTCCCCTCCCACGCCCACATATTGTACATTGTTTTCCGAGCTGTTTGAGAGGAAGTTGCAGACATGATGTCTCTTTACCCATAAATATTTAGTGTGTTTTTCCTAAAGCACAATGACTTTCTCTTTTATAACCACAGAGTAATTATAAAAATCAAGAACTCAACGCTGGTATCTAGAGGCCTAATCCAGATTTCATTTGTTCTCCTTTACAACAGAAGGAAAACCTCCAATGTGTTGCCTTGCTCTACTGTTTAGGCTTCTTTAGCCCAGAACAGTTCCTCAGCCTCCCTTGGTCGTCTTGGTCTTCTTTCCCTTTGTATTAAGTACCTTGTGGGGACAGAGTGTAAAACTCTGTAAATATCCAGTTGCTCATGAATTATTTCTTTTTCTTTTAGAGACAAGGTCTCACTCTGTCACCCAGGCTGGAGTGCAGTGGCACAATCACGGCTTGCTGCTGCCTTGACATCCTGAGCTCAAGCGATTCTTCCACCTCAGCCTCCCGAGTAGCTGCAACTACAGGTGTGCACCACCGCACCAGGCTCATTATTATTATTATTTTTTTCGAGATGGAGTTTCGTTCTTATTGCCCAGGCTGGAGTGCAATGGTGCAATCTCTGCTCACTGCAACCTCCACCTCCTGGGTTCCAGCGATTCTCCTGCCTCAGCCTCCCGAGTAGCTGGGACTACAGGTGCGCGCCACCATGCCCAGCTAATTTTTGTATTTTTTAGTAGAGATGGGGTTTCACCATATTGGTCAGGCTGATCTCGAACTCCTGACTTCGTGATCTACCCGCCTCGGCCTCCCAGAGTGCTAGGATTACAGCTGTGAGCCACCGCACCCGGCCAATAAAAGGAATTTTTTAGTACTATTGTTACAACTTTTCTTAAGTCTACAATTATGCCAAAATAAAAGTTAAAAGAATAAAAAATGACATACCTATGACAGTACTTTCCTGATTTTTCTTGCATTCCTTATTGGTGAGATCCACATGATGAAGACTCAATGGTTCATCTTTGTAGCCCTCATAGCACCTGACACAGCAACTAGCCACTCAGTAAATAAATTAACTGCATCTGCAAAACACACGCTACATGTATCCAGAAAATGTATATTGAGAAAATATAAAAGCAACTAATTTTCATAAAAGGTTTCAAGCAGAAAAGGGAGGAGACAGATTAATTTAAAACGTACCTTTTCCTCTCTCCAGGGCTACAGGTAAAGGATGGTAATTGTCTGCACCACACTTAGATTTCCTTTCAAAAGTGTAATCAGGCCCAGCACGCTGGCTCACGCCTGTAATCCCAACACTTTGGAAGGCCTGGTGGATCACTTTCAGGAATCGAAGACCAGCCTGGCCAACACAGTGAACCCCTGACTCTACTAAAAATACAAAAATTAGCCAGGAATGGTGGCACACACCTGTAGTCCCAGCTATTCAGGAGGTCGAGGCAGAAGAATTGCTTGAACCCAGGAGGTGGATGTTGCAGTCAACTGAGATCATGCCACTGCACTCCAGCCTGGGCGACAGAATGAGACTGTGTCCTTCAATTAGGAACACCACAGATCTGTCCAAAGAAAGGAGAATGCTTTAAGAGTGAGAATCCTGCCGGGCGTGGTAACTCACACCTGTAATCCCAGCACTTTGGGAGGTCGAGGCGGGTGGATCACAAGGTCAGGAGATCGAGACCATCCTGACTAACATGGTGAAACTTCATCTCTACCAAAAAAACAAAAAACAAAAATACAAAAAAATTAGCCAGGCCTGGTGGCAGGTGCCTGTAGTCCCAGCTACTGGGGAGGCTGAGGCAGGAAAGTGGCATGAACCCGGGAGGCGGAGCGTGCAGTGAGCCGAGATCACGCCACTGCATTCCATCCTGGGCGACAGAGTGAGACTCTAATTGTCTAAAAAAAAAAAAAAAGAGTGAGAATCCTTGGCTTATGCCTGTAATCCCAGTACTTTGGGAGGCTGAGGCTACTGGACTGCTTGAGCTCAGGGGTTTGAGACCAGCCTGGGCAATGTAGTAAGATCTCTTATCTACAAAAAATACATAAAAAATCAGCCAGATGTGGTGGCAGGACCCTGTAGTGCCAGCTACTTTGGAGGCTGAAGTGGCAGAATTGCTTGAGCCTAGGTAGTTAAGCCCAGCCTAGGCAACCAGACCTTATCTCTACAAAAATTAAAAAATAAAAAATTAGCCAAGCATGGTAGCATGTGCCTATGGTCCTAGCTACTCAGGAGGCTGAGGTGGGAGGCTCATTTGAGCCTGGGAGGTTGACGCTGCAGTGAGCCTTGATTGTGCCACTGTACTCCAGCCTGAGTGACAAAGCAAGACCCTGCCTCAAAGAAAAAAAGTTATTACTATAAAGATAAACACACTGAATTAATTTCTGCCCATAAATTGGATTATGGTTCTCTCAGGGTAAGAAATGCTCTCCAGTCACTGCTATAAATACAGTTCCTTGACTATGTGGTTTCAAACAGGGATCTAAAATGGTAATATTTAACATCAGAAATCTATGACCAGCAGATGGCTGAAGTCTGAAAAGTTACCAATCAGGCTGTTTTGGGGTATTAAGAACTTGTAAGGTTAAGGCTAAGAAGTTAATGTCCCAGAAATCTAATAGGTTGGTGTTGATGTAATTAGCAGCCACTAACTCAAATTCTGTGAAGATGCTTTGCTTCTGCTAAGAAAATGGCCTGAAATGTGTGTCTGTATATACTGCACGCAAATATAGCCACTCTGGGTATATCTAGCATGGGTCTGAAATGGCTGAGCAAAGGAGTGTTAGTGTAGAAATATTCCCTATTTAGGGATTGCGGGGAGAAGGGGAGATACATATATACTTATTTTAAAGCTTTGCTAATAGAAAAACAAGGAATAATGAAACAAGAAATAAAAATGAATGTATTACAAAAAGAATTTATTAGACAAACACACCAATAGATTGAGTCTAAGGATTTGGTTGGAAAGCCACTGGGCCTTTTAAAGCAGCGGAAATCCAAAGTCACACGCTTCAAGCATTACTCTGCAACAATCTGTGGAAACCAGAGGGTCAGGAATTACAGCACCGTGCTAGGCCACGAACACATCAGCCTCCCACCTCCCTCCCTATTCCCTCTCTTCTACTGAAGTCCGTGATTCTGGTACCTGAGAAGACTGGAATGAAATGTTTCCCACTTATTACAGAAATTCAGCGTATTTGTTACAGAGGAATGGTCACACTTGAATTGTCTGTTTAATATGGGATATTGCTTTTGAGAAACCAACGAATAGTTATTAAAGGAGTGTTTACCAAAGGGTAAGGTAAATATTATCTAGTATAGTACCTGCATTTTTAATCTCATCTGGCACCAACTGTCTTTTAGAAAGTTACCATGTGTTGTCTGGGGGACATTCTTCTTTAGAAGGAAAAGAGTCTAATTAGTGGATATTAAGTAATTAAATAATATATACTATCAAACCTTATGAGAGTCACATGAACCATAAGGTCTTCATTTAATTTGGGAGAAATGGGGAATATTTTCTATCATTCCTGATGATAGAACGAGCTATTTCAAGATCATAGTAATGGAACTGCAACCCATAATGCCAAACAGTGTGCTTTACTTTGAAGCCATCGACCACTAAATTTGATTGTTAGTAGCATAGGCTACCAACAAATAGCAAGGAATATGGTATCCACATAGATCTCAGCTGACCTCAAGTAATCAAAAGTGAGAACGAAACATACATGACACAACTGGGGACCTCTGGGTTTCTGAGATGTGGGCTACAAGATTATATTAGGTAGAAAACTAAAGGAAACGTATCCCAAGCAAAAGTGGCAAGGGAATTTCGCAGAACGAATTTTTTAAGGGAGGTAATAAAAGCAGCAGTTAAAATGCATGTCCATGTATCAGGTTCCTGGAGGTGAATCCAGTAGGAACATGACAGCTCTTCACACCGAAGTATTGCTTTCATGGGCCCTTACAGTCTCCACTTGTTCACCACTGTGGAGAGTCTGTTTGTAATAAGAATTGTTCTCAAGTCAGAATCCTAGATGAAGATCTAAAAATGTTGAGTTTGTGCTTTTAAAAAACAGTTCAGCTGTCCACATGTATTGTGTGCTGGTGGAGCTAGCTCTTCCCCAACCCGGCTCACTATTGGGAGCCCAGGAATCCCTGGGACAGGCAGAGAAGCCAGGACTGAAGTTTTAAAGAATCAGCTACTGCAAATCAAAGTAGGCAGCCTCATGCATAGACTTCCTGATATTAGTTGAGCCATTGCTGCCTTCATTATCATTTTTATGCCTTTGGGGCCACTGTGTGGTTTGGTCCAAGCTGTTCTCAAAACTTGCAGTGCAACAGACCTGTGTCTACTTTAGCAGGTGAGTCTAGCTACACATCAAAGTCACCCTTCCTACCACAAACTTCCGGCCTACTCAGAAAACCAAGGTACCCCCTCCCTCAGGAATAACCTGGGGAGGTTATTTGGTACAAGTATTGCGCTCCAGTCCGAATCTTAAGTAAAGATCTAGAAATGCGGAGTTTTATGCATTTTAAAAATAGTCGTTTCAGAATGGCCGTGTGTGCTCCAGGACCAAGCTTTCCCCAGCCTCGTTCAGGATTTGGAAATCTCTGGGTTTGGGCTGAACCATCCAGCATGACGAGGGGAAGCTATCAGTTGTGAACAGAGACTGTTTCTCAGCCTTTGATGAGCCAGCACCTTTAAAGGTTCCATCCTAGCCGCCAGCAGCTGGCAACCAGGGCGTCTCTGCTCTCCGTGTTTCCCTCCTGGCATCTTGGTTAGCCCCGCGCCGAACACCCAGGGCCTCAAAAAATAGCCCCTGAACTGAATTAAACCTGACCCACAGTGAACAGCAAGGTCCAGAAACCGCAAGGTCTGGGGTCAGCCTCCGTCCCCAGACACTCTGAAGGATAGCAGATCCCTGACCCCGGTGGCTCGCGAGGATCGCAGGTGCCCGCGGCGGGCAGAGGGGCGGAGTCTCAGGCCTCTGGAAGGGAAGGGGCGCGCTGACACCCGCGCACCTGCACCCCAGGTGGAGGAGCCGAGGGCACACGACGATGCCAATCCCTCGTGAATCCCGCGAAGGAGGGGCCGGGGGCTCCTGATTCATAGGTGCGGGGCGTAGAAGGGGGTCAGGTAGGAAGGCCCGAGGAACGGCGCGAAAGGGCTCCCGGGGACGGCAGCCGTCAGCGGGAAGGAGGGGGCGGCCGGGAAGAGGACGTTGGCCGCGGAGTAGGAGGGGAAAGTCTGGAAGGGCAGAGCGCCGGTGCCGGGAGGGCCAGGACTGCCCCCTGAGCCGCCGCCGCCGCCCCCCGCCGCCCCTGGCTGGGGCGCGCCACCCCCAACCTGCGCCGCGCCGTCGGCACCCGGGTTCTGCTTCTTCCACTTGGTCCTGCGATTCTGGAACCAGATTTTGACCTGCGTCTCGGTGAGGCTGAGCGACAGCGCAAGGTTCAGACGCTCGCACACGGACAGGTAGCGTGTGGCCCGGAACTTGTTCTCCAAGGCCACCAGCTGCTCGTAGGTGAAGGCGGTGCGCGCGCGCCGCGGCTTGGCGCAGTTGGGCACCACGCGCCGGCGCCTGGGCGGCGGGGAGCCGGGAGAGCCCGGAGGGGACCCCACAGGGCCGCCCCCGCCGTCCTCGCAGGGCTCCCCAGACGCCAATGCCCCGGCCGGGGCGTCAGGTGAGCGCGCTGGGCCCGGCAGCAAGCGCGCAGCCCGCTCCCGCCGCCGCGGCCTCCCCGGATCCTCCGCATCCTCCTCCTCTTCCGCTTCGGAACCCTCCAGGGGGGACGCCTGGCCGGCGCCTGGGCCCGCAGCATCTAGGGGAGAAGGGGTCGGTGAACAGAAGCCTCTCCGGGTCCCCAAACCTCCTCCTCGTCCTCCCTAGAGCAAGCAGTTCTCCCCGCAACCCAACTCCGGGTGCTGCTCCTGTCCCCACATCGCGCTTCCCTCAGGCCGGACTGCACATCCTTGCCAGCGGGTTTAGGGGAATGGTGTCCTCTTGCCGTTTACAAATCTGCCATCAAATAGGCGTCCAAGAAATGTATGCTAAATGAATGAATGACACTCCGCATTAAGAAAAAATAATGACCTTATTGGGTGACCATATCGGGAGGTAGGATCATTGTATTAAGACATCTAGATGTCAAACGCCTTTAGGGCTGTACCTTCCCCAGACCCTGGAAGCCTATTTTGGTCTAGGACTCCTAGCAATTAAAAAAGAAGTTATTAAGCTCTCTGCCCCACCCCACCCCGACCGCCGCTTTAAAGTGAAATTCCCTTTCCCATCTTCTCTCTCCCGCCGTGTTAATAGAGTTTCAGATTTGTGCGGGGCCGGATCGATAGATGTCATCTATTAAAGGTAAGTTTTAATCGAACAATATTAGGATCAGACAGGGAAAGGGGGTTTGAAGTCCGTACCTGCAAGCTGCGGGCAGGAGATATGCAGGCGCCAGTAATAGAATATCGATCACGAGGGTGGGGGAAGGGAGCGCGGCCCCTCGGAGAGAAGATCCGAACAATTACCAGGCCGCTGGCCCGGGCCCACGTGCGGCCGCCAGAGGCGCCCCGGGCCCCAGGCAATCACCGCCAAACTTGGGGAGGGGAGCAGGGGGCTGCGCGGCATCCAGCCTCCCCGGGGACCAGAGCCACTGACCCTTCAGGGAGCCGCCTTTCCCTGTCTGATCCCACGCTCCACCCAGCAGGACTCCTGCTGTCTTCCGTCCTTCCTTCCAGCCACAAACTTTCCCAACCCCTTCATCAGGTGTCCGCCAGCGTTGGGAGTAATTCAGAAAGGGTTTCGAGAAGAAAGTACCAAATGTTTCCCAGCACCTCATCCGAGCCCCGCCCCCAGCCCCAGTCAACAGTTGGGTCTGGGGAGCTTGAGAGCGTGGGGCAGCCCAGCCCCGCAGGCATCTCCAGGTGGCACCTGACCTCTCTACTTACCAAGACCCCCGGCGCAAGCCTTAGCCTCAGCTCCTCCATCCATAAAATGGAGGTGATGTTAATGATGCTGTCCAACTCTCAGGTTCCGAAGTTTTCATCACCTTTATCCCAGCCCTTAGCCCAGGTCCTAGCACGTGGCAAGCGCGTTAAATGCCCAATAAATGAGTAAGCCTGGCAAGGTAGGCGCCAGGTAAGTTAAGTCTCCACCGCGAGCATCAGAGCTGTGGTGCGGGTGAGCTTGGAGGGTGAGCAGGGATGCAGCAAATCCCTGTCCCGTAATGCGGGGAGCCTCCTCTCTGCCTCTATCCAGTTCCGAGGCGGGGGCTACACTTCGCACCCGGTCCCGTGCGCCTTCTCTCTTTGAGGAAGACGCCGTTAAGGGCCACTCACCGGGCCCGGGTGTTCCCCCATACACTCCGCAGTGTTGGGGCTGAGGCCGCCTGGGGCCGGGGCCACCTTGCATCTTACCAGGGGTCTCCAGCTGTCGTACAGGGTCCCTGGAGCTGGCATCTTTCCCCGCTTCGATCTCCGCCAAACTTTTCCTGGCTTCCCGGGGCGCCGGGCGCACGGCCGGGAGCGCTGCGCGGGTGAATTTCTGCGGATCCAGGATGTCCAGGACGGAGAAAGAGATCTTGTGGTGGGAGGGAGCCGCCTTGGCCCCGCCGTCCTGCCATGCCAGCATGCCCGTCGCCCGCGGGCCGGCGGTCGGCGGCGCGGGGTCGGGGATGGCGCCGCTAGGGCTTGCCTCCGGCTATGGCTTGGCCGCAGCTCTCCAGCCGGGAGCCGGGTCCGCGCGGCCAAGTGAAGCTGGGGAGGGGGGCGGGGAGGCGGGGCGGGGAGAGCGGCGTAGGGGGCTGCGCTCCGATTGGCACCGGCGCAGCGCCGGCCAGCCTCGGGACTATCCGGCGCTGTAAGGAGGCCCCTTGCCTGGGCTCCAGGAAGCCTCCGCGCGCCCGGTGCGCGTGCCCGCGGGGACAGTGCAGTCGGCTCCGCGCGCCTCCGCCCAACCCTCTGGGACTCTCGGAGGGCGTCACGTAGACTTCCATCCCGGGGATCCCTTCCCCCGACACACACACCTCTGTGACTTGAGTTTGTGCCCTTTCTCCGGCGCACCCGCCTTAGACTTGGGGATGCAATTGAGGCCAGGACTGCTTACTTCCAGGGAATGCTCAGCGCATCTCCTTCCCCGCCAGTGAATTACTGTAATAGCTTCAGACCCGGTTACCTCGGAGGTAAAATCCCTCACGTTCTCACAGTTTAGCGTTCACAAAACCTTGAGGTTTGCACGATCTCTTTTGATTCTTTGAGCATCCCTGTGAGATGGGCGTCACGTGGCACAGACCACTGTCCCCGTTTTAAAGATGAGGAAATCGAGTTTCAAAGGTAAGAAGAGATTTGCCCAGAGTCACTGTGAGTTGGTGACAGAGTCTGGGTTTGGACCTGGGTCTTCTACTGGACTGGTCAGTGCTTTTTTAGTACGTCCTGCTATCTCAGAAACGGAGGGAGAAAATCCCGGACTCTCAGTCTTTTGCTTCCACCCAAAGCTAAGCCAGAGGCCAGCAAGAGGTTTGGAGAAGTGATGAGCCCCCACCGGGATGCCTGCCGCTTTGGAAACCTTAGTGGCTTCAGGCACAGAGCCAAGTGAGATGGCTGAAGGTGTCTGCCCTGGTTTGCTATGACCCGGAGCACAGCCCTCGATGGACAAACTTCAGGCCTTCTCCAAAGTCACAGGTTCGATCATTTGCAACAGAAATTGGATCTGAGAATTAGGTTGCATCTCAGACCCCCATTCCCTCCCAGCCCCAGAAGCAGAAGATTCAGAAATGCCTGTCTGGTTTGAATTTAAGGTCAGAGAAGAGAAACAGTTGAAATGGCCCTCATCTGCCCCACCAAGTCCCCTGGGAAGGTGATCACCAGTGGTTGGAGAAGCTTCCACTGACCACACTCATCCTAAATTTCTTCTTTTGTCTCTTGGAGGGCACACAGCAGTCTGTGAGCGCTAAGCATTTGTTTCAGGCAAATTCTGAGACTTCTCCTAGTGTTTGGCTCAGAACCACCTCTGACACTGCTGTTCCTTTCTTCTCTGCCCCATGGGGTTTCCAAACAATGACTTGGCAATTAATATTGTCTGAGCAGGTAAGGAGTAGGAAGAGGAGGAGAAACCTTCTCATTAAAGTGCTGGGGGCTGCTAATCCCATCTGTTATTGAAGAGGCATCCTTAGAAGCCAGCTCCTTGTAGCTTTTCTCATTCAAACCTTGCTGCCCCTCCCAGAGGTGGTCACTGTATTCCCTGCGGACTTTAAAGCCCTGCCGAAATTCAAGCCAGCTTCAGTCCTAAAGTGGAGATGGATTGTGCTTTTAAAGCTCAGGAGAGGAAGTGCCTTTCCCAAGCCCACTGGACCACCTCCCACGAAACGGACTGCACACCATGTGAAAAACCCAAAGAAAAGATGGCCCTGAAACTAAAAAGTGGTGCCCAAGAACCTGGACTGCAAATCACAGAGCCTTCCTGAAATACAGATAGGGTACTTTGTTTTCTGTTTTGATAACGCTTTCTCACCCAGTTCTCGATTTTTTTTTCTAATCTTCTTTTTTGTTTCTTCCCCTTCACCCTTTTGATCCTAGCCGCTACTTCTACCTTTTCCCACCATGTTTACTTTTTTTTTTTTTTTTTTTTTGACAGAGTCTTGCTCTGTCACCCAGGCTGGAGTGCAGTGGCGCGATCTCAGCTGACTGTGCAACCTCTGCCTCCTGGGTTCAAGCAATTCTCCTGCCTCAGCCTCCCGAGTAGCTGGGATTACAGGTGCACGCCACTGTGCCTGGCTAATTTTTGTATTATTACTAGAGACAGGTTTTCAACATGTTGGCCAGGCTGGTCTTAAACTCATGATCTCAAGTGATCTGCCCACCTCAGGCTCCCAAAGTGCTGAGATTACAGGCATGAGCCATTGTGCCTGGCTCATGTTTACATTTTTAAATGCTAAGGTTCTTCAGGGTAGTTAGTAATAGGTTTCCTTAAGTTAGCCCCAGATGGCAGTATGTGGCTTCCCACTGTCCCTCTTATTCATTCTCCTGTAAGAAACCTTGAGACTCTTTATTTTCACAGGATGGTGGGCATTCCAGGGGCCACCCTATACCTTGAACCAGAGGGTCAAGGGAGGCCCAGACGGCCAAGAGTAACCCAAACCCGGATCATTTCCATTGTACTCCATAGATTACCTCAAAAAATTTTGTTTAAATGATATGACTCATCTTTCCCTTGAGGTTCACGGATGTTAAATATAGGAAAGGAGCTGAAAAAGGAAGAAGCAACAAATTGGAGAAAAAGCCAAGAACGGTAGAGGCCATATTCCTTAAACCTGTGAATCTTTACAAACTCCTTATTTTAGTGATTTTCTATTTTGCTTGCCCCTTATTTTTCTTTTTTTTTTCTCTTTTTTTTTTTGGGGGGGGGGACCGGGTGTCGCGCTGTTGCCCAGGCTAAAGTGCATTGGCGCGATCTCAGCTCACTGCAGCCTTCACCTCCCGGGTTTAAGCGATTCTTATGCCTCAGCCTCCTGAGTAACTGGCGAGTAGCTGCGATTACAGGTGCGTGCCACCACGCCCGACTAACGTTTTGTTTTGTTTCAGACAGAGTCTTGCTCTGTCTCTCACACTGGAGTGCAATGGCACGATCTTGGCTCACTGCAACCTCCGCCTTTTGGGTTTAAGCAATTCTCCTGCCTCAGCCTCCCCAATAGCTTGGATTACAGGCACACACCACCATGCCTGGCTAATTTTTGCATTTTTAGTAGAGACGGAGTTTCACCAAGTTGGCCAGGCTGGTCTTGAACTCCTGACCTCAGGTGTTCCGCCCGCCTTGGCCTCCCAAAGTGCTGGGATTACAGATGTGAGCCACCGCGCCCGGCCTGCACACTTGTTTTTGACTCTCCATGTCCCTGCCGAGTTTCTGCATCTCCATAGCTTGCGTGAACATGTGTCCCTCAGCGGCCACCCATCTCCATTTTCCTTGCCCATTAAGCTCAAGCACCCACCAGTGGCAGGCAGCATGTCCTAAGATGAGGGAGTCGATCTTTTTAAATTTTGGTTTGGGGTCAGGTGGGAAGGCTATATTTTCAACTCAGTTTTCACAAGTTAGTCTATGAGGTGTTCTTTTGTTTGTTTGTTTGTTTTTTAGGAATGCTTGCTGTGCTTGGCAGCCAGAGTTCAAAGCTCTGGTGGGAAATGGTAAACGCTAGCCTTTAATTGTAAATGACCTCTCCAGCACCAAGGGACATAGAGTCCGGTAAACTAACGACGGACTCTGCTATTTGTGGCTTCCTTCTAAAATCTAGTGCCTGCCCTCTCCCATCTTATAGACCAATTTGAGATGAAGAAGCACATCTTGGGGCAGGTGGCTGAGGTACTGGGAAAAGGGGTTACCCACAGGCTGTCTGGCAGATGAAGTTTCCCTGTTTGTCATCAAACTGTCTTATGAAGCTGTCTCTTTGGCATATATATCCTGCCCTGGGGGCTGGCTCAAAATGCAGGGTTTTACCTGGAGAATTTCAATTGCATTTTACTTCAGGAACATAAGATTTTATCTAAAATGCTTTAACACGGCTCATAATATTGCCTGCCCCCACCCACCCCCCCACACTCCCTCTGCATAAACTGCAAATTCTTTCCATTGTTAACACTATTCATGGCACGCAGCGGCTCTTCAAGGCTGTGTTGGAATTATAAGCACCTTTGTTTGTGGAATACCTTGGGAAGCTTGGCACCATTGATTTGCATCAGTGCCTCCGGAATAGCCTTTGCCTCCTCCTTAAAGATACTATCTAAACTGTGAAATTCATTAAATAGCCCCAGAAATGGATCAGGTTATTTAACACAACATCCCTAATGGTGCAATATCTCAGCTGTCTGCACTGATAGTGAACATTGTCTTGGATAGTGTTATCAGCCCAGGACACCCGCTATGAATATTGATCCTGAGCTTGTTACAGGCATCACTTGCCATCAGGACAGGTCAGGGTTGGAACCCACCTAGCATCAAAGCAATTTAAAGACAGCACTCAGGCAGAATTTTAATACCCAGGCTGGAAAAAAAAAAAAAATCAACTCCATGCACAGAGGGAGGACTTGCTAGATCTGGGTATATTTTATAGAAATACCGTGGGTATAAATACACATGTGAGGATGTTAGCGAGCCAAACACATGGCCAAATTGTACTGAAAGGGATGCTCATTGCCTCCTGGTCTTTTACAAAACAGGTGGCCAGAAAAAAAAATTACCTAGGACCTCCTCCTCCACTGTTCCCCATGTTGAAGAATGTATCCTGTTCTTTGGGTAGCAGGTTTCTCTTTAAGTTGGATGAGTAAGAGAGGACATTTCTATCCCTCCGGTGTTGATGGGAGACCCAGTGGAGTTTCTTGTGTGCCATCTATTGCCTGCAGCCAAGTACTAAGCATGAGCATTCACATTACCTCGTGCTACAATGAACACACAGATCAGAAATACCTGGCCAGGCACAGTGGCTCATGCCTGTAATCCCAGCACTTTGGGAGGCCAAGGAGGGCAGATCACTTGAGGCCAGGAGTTCAAGACCAGCCTGGTCAACATGGTGAAACCCCATCTCTGTTAAAAACACAAAAAAATTAGGCCAGGCGCGGTAGCTCACACCTGTAATCCCAGCACTTTGGGAGGCCGAGGCAAGTGGATCACGAGGGCAGTAGTTCGAGACCAGCCTCGCCCACGTGGTGAAACCCTATCTCTATTAAAAATATAAAAACTAGCTGGGCACAGGAGTGCACACCTGTAGTCTCAGCTACTCGGGAGGCTGAGGCAGGAGAATCGCTTGAACCCAGGAGCAGAGGTTGCAGTGAGCTGAGATCATGCCACTGCACTCCAGCCTGTGTGACAGAGTAAGACTCTGTATCCAAAAAAAAAAAAAAAAATTAGGCCAAGGGAGGCCAAGGCAAGTGGATCATGAGGTCAGTAGTTCGAGACCAGCCTGGCCAACATAGTGAAACCCTGTCTCTACTAAAAATATAAAAACCAGCCGGGTGCAGGAGTGCACACCTGTAGTCTCAGCTACTCGGGAGGCTGAGGCAGGAGAATCGCTTGAACCTGGGAGGCGGAGGTTGCAGTGAGCCAAGATTGCACCATTGCACTCCAGCCTGGGCAACAAGAATGAAACTGTCTCAAATACAAACAAACAAACAAACAACAACAACAAAACAAATGCAGAGCAGAGCGGAGAAGCCACAAGAGACAGGCAGACAGGTGGGCTCCAGCCGCTGCCACTGTTGCTGACTTCTTCCTAATGCTGGTTGTTCCATTCCGGGTTCCCTGGGAGCCTCACTGCATCCCTACAGTACTATTTCTTCTTGAGGGCTTCCCTGATTTACCCCACGCAGACTGGAGCACTCCTTCCCAGTTGTTTCTGGGGCACGCTGCCATCATAACCCTTGATGGACGTCTCTTGGTTTTGCCTGATCTGAGGATCCACTCCCCTTTTTCTGGTGTCTGTAGTTGATTTTGCTGAGACCCCCTGGGCCCCCACCCTTGTATGTGGTAGCGATGGGACTGCCAATCAGGCCCCCCAACCTTCTTCTGGCCAAGAGGTCAGAGTGAGCTCCTGCAGAAGTAGAGTCCTACTAGCCTCTCTCCCGGGAGTATCTGAGTCAGAGTGACACGCTTCATTGTGGCAGTGGTGCCCAACACGAAATAATCTGTTATTTCCCACTCTTGACACTGACAGTTCCAGTACTTGCCCGGGTCTCGTTGTTCAGCATTTCCTTTGATTTTGTAAATTGCCTACACTCTACCCAACCTTCTCTTCCCCTCTGCAGTTTGGAATTCAATTAGCCAGAGTCAAGGAACCCTGACAGGCACAGCCTTTATCACACTGCCTGGCATACAGAATCTGGTCCTTGGATTGTCTTAAAGTCAGGGAGTGCAGAGCATACATCCCTGTGCCCATAGTACCCTGGTGTTCAGTAGGTTGAAGACTTGAAAGCAATAAATGGTGGCCTAATAGCACAAACCCAAAGCCCCACAGTTTGACTAAGATGTATTGGAAACCCATACCTTAAGAGACCATATAGGCTGAAGACAAAAATTGGATCAAGAAATGTTTAGGTGTGGATATAGGTTCATAAGGGGTCTGACTCCCATGCTGAGCATCCGTGTAACTAGCTTATGCTTTTATTCAGGTCATCCATGCTAGGTACTATGTTCTTTATAAAGAAAAATGCAGGGGCCAGGCACAGTGGTTCACACCTATAATCTCTGCACTTTGGGAGGCTGAGGCGAGAGGATACTTAGCCCAGGAGTTTGAGGCTGCAGTGAGCTATGAGTCATGCCACTGCACCCCAGTCTGGGTGACAGTACAAGACCCTGTCTCAAAAAGAAAGGAAGGAAGGAAGGAAGTGAGGGAGGGAGGGAGAAAATAAAAATTCAGGCGTAAAACAGCCATGAATTTAACCCCACATGGCGTTTCTGACACTGGTAGACGTGTTGCGGTATCTAGCCTCGAAAGATGGCCACCCCTAATCAACCATGCTGCTTAGTGCTCATGCCCCTGTGTCATCCATTCCCACACTGAGCCTGGCATGGCCCTGGGTGACCAGTACAACATGACTGAAGTGACTCTGTGACTTCCAAAGCTAAATCACAGGAAGCCCTGCAGCCTCTACTTTGTTCCCTGGGAACACTTGCCCTTGAGACAGCTCCTCTTTGACTCTTGCTGTCATGCTGTGAGATACACAAGCCACACGCAGAGGCCATGTGTAGGACTCCAGAAAATAGGCCACATCAACTGACAGCCATCTTCCAGGTTCCCAGGGCCACCCAGACCTCCTGAATCTAAACCTATGTTTTAAAAAGCCTTCCAGGTGAATCTAATGCACATTAAAGTTTGAGAAGCTTTTCTTTTTCTTTTTCTTTCTGACAGTCTCGCTCTGTTGCCCAGGCTGGAGAGCAGTGGCGCAATCTTGGCTCACTGCAACCTCTGCCTCCCAGGTTCAAGTGATTCTCTTGCCTCAGCCTCCCAAGTAGCTGGGACAATAGGCCTGTGCCACCATGCCCGGCTAATTTTTATATTTTTAGTAGAGATGATATTTCACTGTGTTGGCCAGACTGGTCTCGAACTCCTGACCTCAGGTAATCTGCCCGCCTTGACCTCCCAAGGTGCTGCGATTACAGGTGTGAGCCACTGCGCCTGGCCTGAGAAGCGTTTCTATTATCAATGGTGCTCCGATTTTTTTTCCACTGTAGCCCATCTCAGTAAAACAGAAGATTCTTTGGCTCATATGGGCCTCACTTGGTCTGGCCTCACTTTCCAGGGAGATGGACTTTGATAATAAGAAAGTTCTTGGTGACTGGTGGGCACCTGCTACTTTTGCCTGTACCATGTTGCTTCCTTATTCCTCTTTCACAGTGCCCTGCTTTTTTGCTTTCTTTTTACTTTTTCTTTTCTTTTCTTTTCTTTTTTTTTTAGCGAAGTCTTGCTATATTGCCTAGGCTAGGGTGCAGTGGCCATTCACAGGTGCAGTTGCAGTCATGTACACTATAGCCTCCAACTCCTGGGTTCAAGTGATCTTCTTTTTTTTTTTTTTCTTAGATGGAGTCTTGCTCTGTGGCCCAGGCTGGAGTGCAGTGGTGCAATCTTGGCTCACTGCAACCTCCGCCTCCCGGGTTCAAGTGATTCTCCTGCCTCAGCCTCCCGAGCAGCTGGGATTACAGGTGCGTGCCACCACACCTGGCTAATTTTGTATTTTTGGTAGAGATGGGGTTTCACCATGTTGGTCAGGCTGGTCTTGAACTTCTGACCTCGTGATCCACTCACCTCAGCCTCCCAAAGTGTTGGGATTACAGGCATGAGCCACCACACCCGACTTCAAGTGATCTTCTTGCCCCAGCCTTCAGAGTAGCTGGGGCTTCAAGTAGGTGCTACTGCGTCCAGCTAATGTACCCTGCTTTTTGCTGGGGGGCTTTTCCTCTCCCTTTCCTTCTGGTCATGGTGGAACTGTAGGCATGTGCCCCGCCTCCAGCCCTGGTAAGGGCACAGGTCAGGTTGGAACATGACAGTATCACTTCCACTGGAACACATACAATGGGGGACACTGACCCAAGAGAACCAATCAGAATTCTTTCTGGAACAGCCAGACCAAGTTGAGGAAAAGGATCCTCACCAGGTGGTATACCGGAGACTCTGTGAGCCCAGAGCTGATAACCAGCCATGCCTGACGATGTCCATTGGTAGACTATCTGGTTGTGTGAGCCAATAAATTCCTTTTAAATTTAAGCCATTTGAAATTTGGCTTCTGTCACTGGCAGCCGAAGAGTCCTAACTATGACAAGCAAATCTGAAAGGATGAGACATATGTCTAGTATAGCAATAGATGGTTGATGGATTCATAGTTGAGCTGAAATTCAACATGAGTTGTAGATTTGTTATAGCAGGCCGAAAGCTCAGTCAGTGTGTGTGCTTCCTGGCACACTATAGTGTTCATGTACCATCTGACTAGCTCTGGCCCAAAAGATGTAAACTAGAGTCTATTGGACCAGGGTTCCAGGGAAGCTTTTGCTTTCCGGGTATAAAGGGTAAGACTTGGCTGCCACATGCCCTTTTTTCTTTTCTTTCCCCTCCTTCCTGCCTGAAATGCAGTCATGATGCCTCGGGTGGAGCAGGAATCTTGTGAGCATGAGGGGCAGGCTGCATGCCGAGAGGGTGGTGGAGCAGAAAGCAGGAGGCAGCCTGATGGTCCTGGGAGCTGTTGTCCCATCCAGGGTTGCCTCCCTCTTGGCTTCTTGATATATGAGGAAAAGAAAAATCTGATTTGGTTGAGCAACTATGGCTGGGTTTCTGTTACATGCAGCCAAATGCAACCCTAACATAGACAATGCCCTACATTCATTGCATCCCAAGAAAAGCCTGGAATTCTCAGATCAAGTTTTAGCCTATCAGTGGCCCATACTTAGAGACTTGCCCCCTTGGACCAACTTGTCATTTTTCAGGTGAGGGACCTGGATCCCTGTATTTGTTTCTTGTCACTACTGTAAGAAATTACCATACACTTAGTGGCTTAAAACAACAGATGTATTATCTTACAGTTCTGGAGGTAAGAAGTCCTAAACTTGAAGTACCAGCAGGGCTGCATTCCTTCTGGAGACTCTAGGGGAGAATCCAGTTCTTTGCCTTTTTTAGCTTCCAGAGGCCACCTGCGTTTCCTGGCCCATGGCCCCTTTCTATTCAAGGCCAGCGGTGTAGTATCTTCCCATCTTTCTCCTGACCTCTGCTTCTGCTGTCACACCTCCTTCTCTGCCTCTGACTCTCTCCTGCTTCCCTCTTTCCCTTAGGAGGACTCATGTCCTTACACTGGGCCCACCTGGACCATCCAGGATAATCTCCCTACAGGAGCATAGGCTCTGCAAGATCTAAGTCCTTTCTGCCATGTCAGGTAATAGATTTAGAGGTTGTGGGGATTGGGAAGTGGACATCTCAAGGGGGCACTATTCTGTCTACCGTAGTCCTATAAATGAAAAGTGACTTGCTCAAGAGTACCCCACAGAGCTGGCTGAAGAAACAACTATAGGTAAGCTCACACCACTGGCAGAAGCACCCCTTTTCCTCCTCCTTGGCATGAAGCTAAAGCCCAGCCATTCTCCAAGGTCCGTTTCAGGCTGCCCCTGCCCAGAAGCCACAGCTGCCCTCCTAGGCCTGCAGAGGTCATCCTCTTGACTGTGTCTGTGTCACTCATTGCCAGTTGGCACACATTTCATCAGCAATCATGAAGGTCTTCCATTGTTCTCTGCCCAGTCTTGATCCTGGAAGGCAAGGATCACACCTTAGAACTTTTTGGTACCCCTAGTGCCCACTGCACAGAGTAGGGTCTCAATACGTATATGGTTCATGATGTTCCTAGCAGATTCTCCAAACTGACTCACTCAGCCCCTGGAAGACTAAAAACTGCATTTCCCAGACTCCCTTGCAGCGTGGACTAGGTTCCACCAAGCCAGACAAAGTGAAAGTGAGTGGGTGGCCACAGGTGGAGAAAGAGAAACTTCGGAGGGCACAGTGGTGGGTATGTTTTGTTCTTTTGGGGGCAGCTGTGCTGGGGGCTGTGCTAAGAAATGGGGCAGTGGTCCCAGTGGAGTAGTAAAATTAAGTGTTTCTCATAGCTGCATGGCTCCTAGCTGTGTAGGACTTAGACTCGTCTCCCCAGGAAATCTGTAAGCTCCTTCACGTCCCATGTAAACAAAACCCCTCTAGCTGGAGTGGTTTCTATTGTCTACTAAGAACCCTTTTACAAGGTATACTACTCCCCAACCCCATTAGTGGAAATCCCCAAAGGGTAGGAATTCTATTTCATTTCACTTGTAAACAGCTCACCTAGTAAGCGTATCAACAAAATATACACAATTCATTGAACTGGACTAAAGCTATAACATCTCAACGAATTCCTCATCCTTTCTGTGAAGCAAGAGCATCCTTTCTGTGAATCAAGGGACTTGTTTTCTGCTTTTCCTGCTCTTTGTCCGCTGATCTCCTGGGAAGAAAACTTCCGAAAAGGAATACCGTTTCGGGGGCGAGCAACGCCAGAGTGCCCAGGCCCTGCCCCAGTTCCGGGTTTGCGCCCGGTCTTCCCGCCCTGCCCCGCCCGCGGGACTACAGTTCCCAGGCGCCCCTGCGCGGCGGTGCCGGCGCCAGTTGGGACGCGGAGCGGAGGAGCACGGCCAGGCGCCATGGCCCCGTGGGGCGAGCGGCTGGCTGGAGTGCGCGGGGTGCTGCTCGACATTTCGGGCGTACTGTACGACAGCGGCGCGGGCGGCGGCACGGCCATCGCCGGCTCGGTGGAGGCGGTGGCCAGGTGAGTGGGCCGCGAGGCGCCGCTGGGGGCGCCGCTGCGGCCGCCGAGCGCTAAGCTCTGCCTGGTCCCCGGCTGCCGACAGGGGGCGGGGCCGCGGCTCAGGCCCCGCCTCGTTCCCCCCCTTCCCACCCCGGTGAGCTCACAGCGCTGACCCCAGACGACCCCACTGCTGCCCCGGGCGAGCACCAGGCCTCTGCTGGTTAGGGCTGTGCGATCAGACAGGGCGGCCTCCTGGTACGTGGGCTGCTGAGCGCTTGAGCTGAGGCCAGTCTGAGTTGAGATGTGCTGTAAGGGTAAAATGCATACCGATGAACAAGTCTTGGCCGGGCGCGGTGGCTCGCATTTGTGATTCTAGCACTTGCAGAGGCAGAGGAGGGAGGATCGCTTGAGGCCAGGGGGTTGGAGACCACCCTGGGCAACATGGGGAGACCCTGTCTCTGCCAAAAATTTAAAAATTAGCTGGGTGTGGCGGTGCACGCCTGTAGGCCCAGCCGCATTGGAGGCTGAGGCAGGAGGATCGCTTGAGCCCAGGAGGTCAAGGCTGCAGTGAGCTGTGATCATGCCACTGTACTCTAGCCTGGACTGCAGAGCGAGACTGTCTCAAAAACAAAACCCCCCAAAACATCAGATTTCGTGAGTAAAATGTAAAATAACACATGAAAATGGGTTTATGTTGTTTGCCTGTTGAAATAATATACTTTTTGTTTGTTTTGTTTTTTTTAGACGGAGTGTCGCTCTGTCGCCCAGGCTGGAGTGCAGTGGCACGATCTCAGCTCACTGCAACCCCCGCCTCCCAAGTTCAAGCGATTCTCCTGCTTCGGTCTCCTAAGTAGCTGGGATTACAGGCACCCGCCATCATACCCAGTTAATTTTTTTATTTGTTTTGTTTGAGAGGGAGTTTTGCTCTTGTCGCCCAGGCTGGAGAGCAGTGGTGCAATCTCTGCTCACTGCAACCTCTGCCTCCCAGGTTCAAGCGATTCTCCTGCCTCAGCCTCCCGAATAGCTGGGATTACAGGCATGTGCCACCACACCCGGCTAATTTTTTGTATCTTCAGTAGAGATGGGGTTTCACCATGTTGGGCAGGCTGGTCTCTAACTCCTGACCTCAGGTGATCCACCTGCCTCCAAAGTGCTGGGATTACAGGCGTGAGCCACCGCATCCGGCCAATTTTTGTATTTTTGTAGAGGCGGGGTTTCACCATGTTGGCCAGGCTGGTCTGGAACTCCTGACCTCAGGTAATCCACCTGCTTCCACCTCACAAAGTGCTAGGATTTCAGGTGTGCGCCACGTGCCCGGTTGATAATATTTTTAATACACTGTTTTAGGTTAAAATATTTGAAATTAGTTCTACCTTTTTTTAAAACTTTTGTTAATGTGCTTATTAGAAACCTTTAAATTACCTTTGTGGCTCTCATTATAATTCTGTTGTACTGCATTGGTTTAGGTGAGAGAAGGAGGAAGAGAACATCGTGCCTGCCAAGACTTGACCATGGAGGACACTTTTTTCTTTGAGACAAAGTTTCGCTCTTGTCTTCCAGGCCAGAGTGCAGTGGCGCCATCTCAGCTCACTGCAACCTCTACCTCCCAGGTTCAAGCGATTCTCCTGCCTCAGCCTCCCAAGTATCTGGGATTACAGGCACCTGCCACCATGCCCAGATCATTTTTGTATTTTTAGTGGAGACCCGGTTTCACTATGTTGCCCAAGTTGGTCTGGAACTCCTGACCTCAAATGATCCGCCTGCCTCGGCCTCCCAAAGTGCTGGGATTACAGGCGTGAGCCGCCGTGCCTGGCCGACACTTCTTTTTATAATTTTTTTTTGAGACTTGTCTCATGATGTTGCCAGGGTGGTGTTGAACTCCTTGGCTCAGTCAGTCTTCCTGCCTCGGTCTCCCAAAGTGCTAGGATAACAGGCATGAGCCACTGCGCCTGGCCTAATTTTTTTTTCTTTTTCTTTTTTTTTTTTTTTTTTTGAGACAGGGTCTTACTTTGTCACCCAGGCTGGAGTGCAGTGGTTCAATCTCAGCTCACTGCAACCTCCACCTTAAGGGCTCAAGAGATCCTCCCACCTCAGCCTCCCAAGTAGCTGGGACTACAGATGCGTGCCACCAGGCCCAGCTAATTTTTTTGTATTTTTTGTAGAGATGGGGTTTTACCATGTTGCCCAGGTCGGTCTTGAACTCCTGGGCTGAAGTAATCTGCCCATCTCAGCCTTCCAAAGTGCTGGGATTAGAGGTGTGAGCCACCGTGGCCAGTCAGAAGGACACTTACAGTAGCGTGGTTGGCACCACTGGACCTGGGCTCTGTAAGGCCTCCTGTTGGCATCCCAGGTCAGCACTGCCATATGTTGATAGGCAGTCGGGAAGGGCTAATTGCCAGGACTTGGCCTCCCAGAGTCACTAGCTGGGGCACTTGGTAGCCTGATGTCACTGGGCCGCAATATTCCTATCTGTAGGTGGCAGTTAAGTGAGTCTCTTGGTCCTTCTTAGAGACCCCATCCTGCCAGTCTACACATGTCTGATGTCTGGGAGCTACTGAGATAATAGGGACCCAAATGGTCCTGCATAGTGAAGCCTGAGGTGCTTGGGAGGCTGGGAACTGGGAACAGGGAGACTTGGCTTCCAGGAGCAAGCGTGAAGGGCAGCCCAGACCTAGGACACTCAGCTGGGTCCTGGGTCTGCTCTCAGTGTTGGCTGAAGTTCAGGGTTAAGTGATTCCTGACCTTAGTCTCCATTACTCCAAAGCTTTAGATGAGCTCAGTCACAGATGAGAGCATTCTGTAGGTGGCACTGGTGGGAATCCAGCAGAGCGCTCTGGGCAGTGTTTTGGGGTGAAGTGGGCCTCATCTGGGGAGCAGGAAGCCAGAGCTCAGTGCCGTGACTGGGGCAGGCAAGGCTTCATGGGAGACCTTGCCACTCATTGCTTGCGGAAGATGCATTTGGCATCATCTACCAGTGGTTCCACTTCTGAGAATTTGTCCTATCTCATGCATGAGAAATGACACGAGTACAAGGTCATTCCTGGCAATGCCTTTTAAACAGCAAAAGACTGGAAGCAGCTCAGATATCCATCAGTAGGGGAGTTAAAGGGTCTGTCTGTTTATACAGCAGAGTAACATGCAGTATAAAAAGGAACGAGCACCCCTGTCTATAGACATATTACCAGTGGAGACAGCAAGCACACAGCAGCGTGCATGGTGCACTGTTTCTCGTATAGAAAAGGCAGAAATGCTTGAATGTATTTCTCTTGCTGTGTTTGCATAAAGACACAGGAAAGCTGCTTCAGAGTCTGGGGAGAGCTGGAGGATAAGGAAAGTGGGGGCCACTGTGTGGTTGGAGACAGGGTAGGAGAAAGACTCTTCACTGTATAACTTTGTATATCAACGTTTTTGTTTTTGAGACGGAGTCTTGCTCTGTCACCCAGATTGGAGGACAGTGGTGCAATTTCGGCTTACTGCAACCTCTGCTTCCTGGGTTCAAATAATTCTCCTGCCTCAGCCTCCCGAGTGGCTGGGATTACGGGCACCTGCCACCATGCCTGGCTAATTTTTGTATTTTTATTAGAGATGGGGTTTTGCCATGTTGACCAGGCTGGTTTCGAACTCCTGACCTCATGTGATCTGCCCACCTTGGGTTTCCAAAGTGCTGGGATTACAGGTGTGAGTCACCGCGCCTGGCCTGCATATCATTTTTAAGGTTTTTAAACTATGCGAATGTATTTTCTATTCAAAATATTGCAATTCAAATATTAAATTGAATATTAAAATTCAGAATATTAATGTTTGGGCACAGTGGCTCACACTTATAATCCCAACGCTTTGGGAGGCTGGAGGTAGGAGGATTGAGACCAACCTGGGCAACATAGCAAGACCCCATCTCTACAAAAAATATAAAAATTAGCCGGGCATGATGGTGCACACCTGTAGTCCCAACTACTTGGGAGGCTGAGGCAGGAGAATCGCCTGAGCCCAGGAGTTTGAGACTATGAGTGTGCTACTGTACTCCAGCCTGGGTGACGGAGTGAGACCCCAACTCCAAAAAACAAAATTGTTTTTTATTTAAAATATTTCAAGGAGATCTCTCTGGCTGCAGTGTAGAGAATAGGCTGGTAGAAGGGCAGGGGCCAGAGAGGACACAGAGTCACCAGTTAGATGGTTCTGGTGGTCCAGGGAGAGCTGGTGGGGCTTGGACTGAGTAGAGGGCAATGGAGATGGGGAGGAGGGCATGAATTAAAGAGGTGTGTTGGAAGCAGGACCTATGGGACCTGCTGACATATGGGGTATTGTCGGGGTCAGGGAGAACTTGAAATAAAGGGTGGTTTCCAGTGTCTGACCGCAACAACTGGCAGGGTGGAGAGGGGGCAGGGCGGGGGTCACGGGGTGGGTATCATGATGGCTCCTGATGTATGTCAAGTTCCTGGCCTAGTGTTTGGCACACAGTAGACCCACAACAGTGTAACATTGAAGACCACTTTCTTTTCTTTTTCTTTTTCTTTGAGACAGGATCTGTCTCCCAGGCTGAAGTGCAGTGATAGGATCACAGCTCACTGCAGCCTTGACCTCCTAGGCTCAAAAAAGTCTTTCTACCTCAGTTTCCTAAATAACTGGGACCACAGGTATGCTTCCACATGCAAGTTTTCTTTTATTTTTTTTAGAGACAGATTCTCTGTCTGTCTCCCAAGGTGGAGTGCATTGGCACCATCTCAGCTCATTGCAGCCTCCACCTCCCGGGTTCAAGCGATTCTCCTGCCTCAGCCTCCTGAG